AGAGCTAAAAAAGCAGAGTTAGTACTATATTATATATTGTGTATCAAATATATGCTGCATACGTTACTGTTCAAAAAGTGATCAAACTATATTAAGCTGGTAATATGTTGGTGTTGTGTTTACAGGTTGTTTCCACTGCCCCACAGAAATCAGTACATCCATTATACCACAGAAAATACTGCTGCTTGTTTTGACACCATGTGAGCATAAGGAACGAGAGTGGAAGTTACATTACATTACATTACATTGCATTTAGCTGACGCTTTTATCCAAAGCGACTTACAATAAGTACATTCGACCAGGAAGACACAACCTTGAAGAAAACAGAATCATATAAGTACATCAGGTTTCATAGAGCCAAACATTTCAAGTGCTACTCAACTGGCTATAGATAAGCCAGTCCTTTATTAGTATATAAGTGCTTTGTTAATAGTTCTATCGCTCGAAGTGGAGTCGAAAGAGATGAGTTTTCAGTTTACGCCGGAAGATGTGCAAGCTATCTGCCGTCTTGATGTCAATGGGGAGCTCATTCCACCATCTTGGAGCCAGGACAGCAAACCCACGTGTTTTCGCCGATGGGAACTTGGGTCCCCCTCGCAGCGAGGGCACATCACTATGGAAGTGATAGAAAATGTGCACTGTTGTGCTATTTGGACATGGTAAAACAACTTGCTTGGTACGATTGTTTTTGTGTGAAAGTCAACTACTAACTGTCAAATAGATTGTGAGGGAGATGCCTATTTGTATGAAAAAGGAAGTGGAGAGAGCAAAGCAAGGCAGAGTGATTCAAGCAATAAAAACAGGAAAATCTAAACATGGGCTTTGCCAAGTCGGGCACACACTGTGATTTTTACCCACAGAGCAGATCAATCTTTCCGTGTGAAGGACAGGTCACGACAGCAAAATAAACGGTTGCATTTCAACAACAGCTTTCAAGGCTCTTTAATTAGCCCTATTCTCTTTGTCCTTATATCCCCCATATCCCCCCAAACCATATTGTCACTCCATATGTCTGCTAGAGGCCCTATACAGTAGCTCACAGCGATGTTGCACAATACTCTATGTCTCACAGCCTGTTGAAAGATGGCATTATCACTGATAGTATGGCTCCACAGAGAGCTATTAACCAATCAGGCCATGGCCACAGAAAGGATCATAAATAATTAAGCTTCTGTTCAGTTGGCACTTTCAAATTCCAGGAAGTATTAACGATTGGTAGAACTAGCCGCCCATAAATGTCAGTAAACACTCCAGGTTGAGGACTGAAGGTCTAATCAGGTTCTGATGTAATCAACTCAAGGAGCAGATATGGGAGCAACACTCTGGGGAACTCAATCAACTGAAGCGTGACACGGTTTATTTTCGCTGCACAGCTTTCTTGAGTCACAACCAGAGGATTTTAGTTTCACAGTCACTAAACTTTTACAGTGATGTCAGAATAGTTGTCTTTCCTTGCATGTCTCTTATCTGATTCACAGTCCATGATTAGACCTTGCTGTGGGACACTAAAGATGAACACAGAGTCTGGTTGTAATATTGATCCCACTGAGCCATAAACTGAAGCACATCTCACACTCTGCCTGCCTTTTATTGCCAGATAAAAAACATTATATTTTACTGCTTTGCGCTAATCATATTCTGCCTCAGGGGGATGAAATATATCTTATTGTAGTCCCCTGCAACAATTAAATTGTTTGAGATACCTGTCAGGGTTCACATTAGTCGCTTCAGTTATTATCACATATTTACTGTATGAGCAAAGCTGTGGCTGACTGCTTCTGCTCATCAGTCACTTCTTATTTACTGGAGCAGCTCCGCTCAGTGTGTTTGAGTAGAGACTTGATCAACAGGAACATCACCTCTCGTAAAAATAAGCTTCATTGCTCTTTATTGCAGAGCACTGGTCAGACACTGCTGTCACATTACAGCTGCTACACTTACTATCCCTCTCTGAGTTTGCTGTCTCCCGTCCCCAGGGCAATATGTCAAGGGTCTACTATATTTGGATCTAAAACGTTTTTGAGTGAAATTATTGCAGACATAATTATGAAATGATTGCAGTCATTTTTAAAAACTACTGCATACTTATACATTTTAAGCAATGTGTTAAACTGAGAAATATCCAAATACATGGAGGAATTCAACATAATTTGAAAAGTCCCTTTGAAGAATTGATAGATAAACCATACATATCATTAGCTACTGTATGCTAACGGTGTAGCTCTATGATAGATATTCGTTGGTCAAGGGAGGCTCAAATATCTATTGGACGATCGGAACTTTTACGCCTTTTTCCACAGACATCCATGGTAATGATTCCTAATAGCTTTGACGTTTCAACTGATCATTCCTTAGGGGCTACCATCGGGTATCAATACTTCAAAATATAAATTACAGTATGACCAAATGCTTACTAATTGTCCAAAAACCTACCAAACAAATGACATTCAGCTTCAGCTGTACGTTTTAATTTATTATAATTGAAAATGTTAGGAATCTAACCAAGATACTAGACGTATAACTGATAACTTTTTTCATTGTGTTCGCAGTTAATTTAATTAACCTCTTTGCACAAGTTCAGTCCAACAACTGCCAGCAAGGTTGCAGACTCTTTTATAGTCTTGTTCACACATGCAGAGAAAATGTATCTCTTTGAATAGCGTCTGTCTAATAAGGAAGATCTAGGATTATACATTTGGGTAAATATATATTCTTTCCCACGGTTAGTATGGCGAAAAATAATTGTCTGCTCATTATGATAAAAATTGGAGTCATACGACTTTCAGTTCAGTCACTACCAACAGCTGCTGTCATTCATTAATTGGTGCTACTCAAGTGCACATTTTAAAAACATTTGTACAAAATACCTTTTCCTGTTGTTCAGGGTCTCTTGCAGACATTTGCAGACCCTAATCCCAGCGGAGGATCTGTTTTTGACTGATCTGAATCTGGGGGCCACGGGCACACTGTCTGTATTCCCCCCCTCCATGTTTCTTTGTCTCTCTTGGTCTTTTCATCCCTTGTAATTGTCAGCTGCTGCTAGGTGACCCAAGATGCCTCTAAAAGTGCACGGCTTCTCTCACAATGCATTGTCCCTCTGAGGCTCTGTATTTTATGCAGTGTGTCATAAAATGAGGTGACACATGTCTCCGGCTGGTGGTTACCTACTTGACAACAGGAGGAAGAGGAAGACAAATATGATCTTTAGTCTTTATAAATGTCCCCTTTTAAAATGCTTGTTTGACATTAGTTTGGACACGATGTTTTAACACACATAAATCTAAATATATAAAACATTATGGGGATGGACTGAGACACTGGTAATGTAGACAGGAACAACAGATCAGATTTTTCTCTTTTGCAGTGACATAGTCTGGCTTACATCAGATTGTATCTGTTTAGACAGCAACTTGGAGCTCATCCACATGTAACAAATGATAAATAAACACTTTCTTGGGGAGATAGTAACCACCATAGAGGATAATAAGGTCTTTATTCTTTAGAGTTCATACATGTCACACAAATTACCCAATTCATCAAATGAAGGACCTATAATATAATCAAATACAAGAGGCATACCACATGTATGCCAAAAGATGCATCCACAATTATGATTAAATCATAACCCAGTCTAAATAAGGTAAAAGTATTTTGAACGTTTGACTGTGTGGTTTACCAAATGGGGGTCGGCACCCTTGCAATAGGTCACATGATGATTAATGGGATGGTAAAGGAACCCTCTTGCATTTATTTTTTGGACACTGATTTCTGTGTATTATTGAGTAGCATATTCTTTCATTCTAACAAGGTAAAACAAAGTGACCAACCACATGTAAGGTGCATTGCCATGGCTCCATTTCATATTTTGTGGTGTTTGTTGGGAACCCAGGAGACGTCTGAACTTTCTATATTAGCATGTGAGAGACATTGTTATTGTTATGGACAAGTGATCTATTTTCATGACGTATCTACTTGGCTGCTATCTATACTAATGCAACATTTGCCGACTACATGGTAGGAATTTTGGTGTGTCAGCAAAGGAGCAACTGATAACATCAATAATATTTTCTACATGTAATTAAGGAGTGTCCGTTCTAGTGTTGTACATATTGGATCCCAATAAATCTCTCTGAGACACTTAATGGAGTGGAAACATTTATGGTTGTAGCTGTTTTTTTCTTGCAATGACATTAATTAATGATTGACCTATATTATGCATATTTCCAGTCTCGGTCTCTCGACTTACCAAATAGCAAAACAGAAGCAGTATAAAGATATATTTCAAAAGATAAAGGAAAATATGAATATAAAAATTCCCCAGCTTTACATGAGTGTAACCCCCCTACCAAGCTGAAAGCACAACACGTATGTAATATTCTACAGTACCGGATTACCACTATAACTCCAATAATAATTGGAGGCCCTGCTCATTCACACAGGTGTTAACAGTTATGGCTGATTAGTCCTGCTCGGCTTGGGGTTGCGTGATAGAAATGTCCAGAGGTCACCAAACTCACTTACCAATAATATTGATAGAGATGATGATGCTGAACAGAAACAAAAAATCAGTGTTAGGTGGTTGACGGAGCTGTCAATCAATCACAGTCTGCACATGCTCACAGAGCTTTGAGTGGAGGTCTAATCAGGCAACATGATTGAGAACACCTGTGTATGTGGAACATAGCTGTGAGTTAAATTTGTTCCGATCTTCCTTTTTAAAACATAAAATACTGATTTTCTGTTTTTCTTGCACGAATATGTTGTCCTAAAATTCTAACTGGGTCTTGAGAATGTAAAACACCGGACATCTGAAGCCACTTGGGGATATTTATAGGCCTTGAATGTCAACAAACATGTAAAGGGCTCCTGTTTCACTAGGCATAGCTCTTGTAGTGAATCCCTGCTGTTTCCTTGTCTGTAGTGGGAAGGCCATATAAGGCAGAAGATATGTGTTGGACCTTGAGACCTGTGTCCTGAGATAGGCACACTGCAGTTTAGTGCAACATGTGGTTTTACAGTGGATCCCTGTCAGCACTATAGATCTCCTCTGTTTGGGAAGACAGAGAAAACTACTTCAAGTCATTATCTCAGATCTACAGTATGGCTATACAGTTTATGAAGAAAGAAGAAGAAGAAGAAGAAGTGTGTGGGAGTTGTGTGAAAAAGCGCAGCTGGGGTGGGAAGATACACCGTGAAAGTTGCATTTTTACAACACGACTTTCATTTTCACGGATGAAGTGGTGCTGTTGATGTGTCCATGTGGTGTTAAGCGTTAAAGTACCGTCTGAGTGCCCTCTCCCTCTCTCTCTCCCTCTCTCTCTCCCTCCGTTATATCCTCGCTCACCATTGCGCGAGTATCAGTTACCGGATCCCGACCAATCCCGGCACGCTGTCAGAGCTCGAGAGGAGACAGCAGACCGGAGAGAAGCAGACGCATACAGAGGGGAGCAGACCCTCCAACCTATTTATCCATCCGACCACCGGCTATCCTCCTTCACCCAGCACACAGGCAGCCCCCCCACTTCCTCCCGACTGCAGCTGTTTGGGTTAACCGGGGAGGTGCGAGGCAGGATGCGCCATGGGACAAGCGTGCGGACACGCGCTCCTCTGCCGTAGCCAGCCACCGTCCTCCGAGATGTAAGTGTGTTTAATAACTATGTCTGTGAGTTGTATCTTCTTGCCACTTCAGAACACACTGGACGAGGCACATTGCGCTTAGCATTACGCCAGATATGAACAGAGCCTGATGGAGTGTGTGTGTCACCCTGCTGGGTGTCGTTATCCCCCCTGACAGAGGCTCTGAGGACCCCAGGTGAACCGTTCAGCCGGCTGTCGGTGTAAACCGGTGTGTGTAGCTCACCTCCATCACACTGTAATATCTGTCTATAGTCTGCAGAGAGCTCAGTGACCTTATCGTGTGTTCCAAGGTAAGAATAACAGCAGCTGCTCTGATAGGCATACTCTCCCTCTAATATCCCTGCTGGGACTGATACAGTTCATGCATATAGCCCTCATAATTACTTTCTCTCAATTGCTATGTTCATGTGTTTATGTAAGGGATTACTTTGAGCAAACCACTTTATTCTAAAGTACTGTTTGGCCACTGACAATCCAGCCATTTTAAAACAAGGCACCCTTTATAAAAAGTCTGTAATATGCTGGAACTTAAAGCATTATCAATAAGTTATTACAACTTTTTTACAGATCAGTTATAGGCAATTCATAAAACAAGCTTTTGGGTTCACAGGTTGAGTTTAAGTATTCTTACCTTGTGAACACTGAATCAAAATGTTTTGGTTATTACCCACTGACTAGTTTATTAACTGATTACTCTTTAACCCATAAAAGATTATAAACAGCAGCTAAAATAATGTGTTCCAACCTGGCAACGCAACATTTCTTACCATTCTTAGCATTATTGGTTAAAAACTCATCCAAGGAGCTTAGTTTGAACACAATACTTTGATTCAGGAAACCTGTGTCCATACCCGTGAGAGACCAAAAGTCACTCACTTTTCTTAATATATATCTATGTGTTAAATAATGTAACGCAACTTATTTTAAGCCAGGTAATGATCTTTTACATAACCAAGTTAAGAACATCATTTCGTAGGAGACAGAGGAATGGGGGATTTCTCTAGTTGTTAGATACTTACCCTTTATGCGTAGTTTGACACACCAAACATTCATCTTCACACTTCTTAAAACCAGCCTTTTTATAGCGTTAATGTTCATTCTAGACCCTAAGGCTGTTTTCCTTGTTCATGAAAAGTTGACATTTGGGAGATAAGGAGTTTTCACATAAAGCAAATGTGTGATGTGGATCAAAGGAGCCTTACACAATCGTATTAATGCAATGAAGCATCCCAGCAATGCATCCCATCTCCATGCTTATAGTGTTTACTACCGTATGTGTTGAAAACGTCTCGGGGTTCAAATTGGTGGTAATTGTCGCAGCTGTTGTGTTGTTGTCCAGTCTGTGTTGGTTAGTCATGACTTCTCAAGTGACACCTCTACAGGAAAAAATACTTTTGAATGTCAGGGCCAGAAGTGAGTTCAGCTAAATGTAAGCCTATTAACTACTTTAGAGCCATCTTCATTTTTAAAGTTTGCCAGGAAAACACGCAACGCTTGCTCATAAATTAAGTGACTAATTTGCACTGAGTCTAGTGATTATGATCAAAACACGGGTCTGATCAAACAGCATCCACCTACTATGCTGAGAGCTTCCCCCAGGAGGCATCCTGATGTCTATACTCTGTGCTTTATTTTAATGAATAACTTCCCTCCATCTCTCTAGTGGTTGAATAGCATAATTTGCAGCTTATAATATGTGATGCCATTATACGCTGATTGCACAAAATATTGGAGACATTTCCCTCAGATCAAGTTTCAACCCCTTTTTGCCTCAAAGTAAAAAAGAAATCCTAATCGAATGTGCTCCTCCTTCATTATTGGTTTAATTTCAATAAGGGAAATCACTGGGGGATAATGACTTTTATTAACGTCACCAGCGCTTGTCAGTAAAAAATCTAAGCTTCTTACATTGGGCATTTGTTGGCCATTGTAGGAGAAAATAACCAGAGTTGTGCAGGGATAATGAGTCTGCCAGTCAGTGATCTTTCACATACAATTAGTTTCAGGAGCTGGTTTCCCCTCAAGCTGGAGTGTCTTTTGACTTGGGGACTTAGCATTTGTGATCTGTTAAGCTCACAAAGTGTGATGCTGTCATGAGATACACAAGAGCCGACGTCGTGCCTGTACCTTTCCGGATATGTTCCAGAGAAACATCCACATCCTTTTGTGTTTCCATCATAATGATGCTTTTCCAGATCCTTGGGTTGTAGCTTCAAGATCCAGTTATCCATCACAAGTATTGACCAAGTCTTATAAATCACATCCATGAAATCAATCTGAGCTTGAACCTCTGTTCTTCCTCGCTTTGTAATTGTTTATGTTCTATGTGTTTGCTGTTTGAAACAGCGATTTGAAGACGACACGTTAATATTCAATGCACTTCGTTTACCATGCTATCATTTTAGCAGTCAATGGTGTGCCAGAGGGTGAGCATGTGAACGGTCTGCAGCCTGATAAATAGTGCAATTTACTGGACTGACGCCAGGAAGCCAGATCCCCAAGCCTCTTGCCACACACACACACACAAAAGTACATGGCAGCAGCAGAGTTGTAACCTGATTCTTGGTGAGTGAGTGTGTGTGTGTGTGTGTGTGTGTGTGTGTGTGTGTGTGTGTGTGTGTGTGTGTGTGTGTGTGTGTGTTTGAGAGAGAGAGAGAGAGAGAGAATGATAGAGAGAGGATGCTGATGTTGCAATGTGTTATCAGTAATGGGCTCATCAATACTAAAATATTCAGAGAGAGAAGAGACAGAGGATAGAGGCAGATAAAGAGTATGCAGGGGAAACCATTGTGATCTGCTTGCATTTATGTTTGTTTGTGTATCTATAGAATGTGTGTGCTTCAGCAAAAATATTTGGCTTAAAATTATTCACTGACTTACAGTAACTGCATTTTGATTATTCTCTCTGAGTCTATGAATGTATGTTAAGTATTCAGCTAAAGGTCCAACATACACACTCTAACTACTGAAACACACAGTATGTTTACTAGCCAGCAGTAGATAAACATAATGTACAATTTGTTTTTACAGACAAGATCACTGACTGTTTAACATTCAAATAAATACAATGTAGAAATTAATTAAATTAAGGAGCTGTGCACATCCATGGCAGAAACTCCTGTCCTCCAGTTAAAGTGCAAATTAAGCACATCATTTTTGGTTGCATGCCCCCATTAATTTTCTGCATGAATATTAAGAGATGACTGGCAAAGCCTGGATGCCTTGAAACACTTTCAGCTGAATCATCAGTTCGAAAGATGAGTAAATGTTTAAAAAAGAAATCTCTTTCTATAATAATTAGTCAGAGGTCAAGAGTGTGAGTGAAGATTAAATGTGTGTTACAAACATTCAATCTTCTTTCACACTCTCACACCAAGCTTTACATTCATACATCACCACTGGCATATTTGTAATAGAGATTAAGCTTTATAGGGCTTTGATGAAACAGCAGCTTTAATCAATTAACTTTAGGAATCTGGGTTTGGGGGTCTTAAGGCCCTGACACACCAAGCAGTCACCAGAGGACTCGCCGACACCGACGTCGGCTGTTGCGTCGCGGTGTTCTCCTGTGTCTTGGCCATGTGTCGCACGGGAACACACCGCAAAGACTTCAGTGCGTGAGTGGCAATAACTCTCCTTACCAGCAGGCGGCGGTAGTGTGTATTCGTCATTAAAAATAGGCAACAACCGGAAGACAGAGAAGAAGAACAGACTGCGTGATATAAACAACAACAAATAGCGTGTGCAAACTGCAGCCTGGTTATGATCCACTGCTGTCTGCCCGTCTTTGGTGCTCCACAACTACCCGAAGGGGCAAGTCTCCTGTACCGGGTGTACTGGGTTCGCAGAGAATCCCACTTCTTCCTCAGCTCTTTCTCTGAAGCACACAAATAAACGATGTAAGCATTGTGGCTAGTTAGCATGTCCAATTCATATCTATATGCAGTGCCAAACTGCACAGCTAGCAACAAGATAACAACAAAACACAAGGTTGAAATAACAAATTGCATTTCACGTTAACGTCACTGTACGCTGACAAACAATAAAAAGCCAACAATATCTGCTAAAGAGCTCAATTGATGAAAAAGATAATCTTACCCGAGAAACCAAGTTGCGTTTCAATCTCTCGCCAGAGTCCGGTTTTCACTACTCGGTTCGAGTACCTTTTCTCTGTGATGTCGTACAGAGCTGGCCTCTCCTGGATCAATGTGATGAGCAGGTCTTCGTTTCCGTCATTCCAGATCGCCATGATGAGATGGAAATGAATATCAGTCTGTGTGTGCCTTCTTAAATCGTTTGTTTACGTCCCTCACTTCCGTTTCGCTTCTCATGCACTGATTCGCTAGCTGAACAGCCAATCAGAGTGATTGTTTGGTCCGACTGCCAGACCCGATGCATGGCCGATTCAACATGTTGCATCGGGACCATGATCGGGACAGGCAGTCCAAATAAGGCGTGTCACGGTCGACGGTGCGGGACACACCAAATTGAGTTTGGGCGACAGGACACGCTTCGTCTCCCGATTTACGAAAACAGCCGAAATCGGCCTGGTGTGTCAGGGCCTTTAAGTGAATCCAATAACTGGTCAAGTGTTTTGTTCCTGATTGCAAAGAGAAAGCTCTGCATTTCCTCCGGCTCTGATTTGTGTCTCTGGCTGGCCATAACAAACTGAAGGAATTAGGAAGGATTTATTTTCTCAGAAACATAGCTTACTAGAATGTAACCACACATCGCATTTGAGGTTATCGTGGAGAGATAACCTACAATACAAATATACAGTAGATAACAGACCTTCCCAACCCTGCCACACGTACTGCTTTTGAGTTTAATAAAACAACGTGCCACTAATAGGCTGAATTAGAACAGTATAAATAGTTTTAGAGTTTACATCTGTGCATTTAATCCTGTGGCTAATTTAAAGTCTTCAGCACATCTACAAAGTGTGTATTTAGACTGGGGAGGAAACCAGAATGCCTGGTGGACACACATGTAATTAGTTA